TTTAAAAAAAATTAAGAAAGTAAATTTTGAAAGGTAGAATAGAATTGCATCATAATGATATCACAGATGCACTGCCATTATTATCATCCAAAATAGAAATAATTTTCATTTCAAACAACTATAAATACAAAACTAATTAGTAAAATATGAAATAAATATATAACTATCAAAATATATGCATATTATGACAAATTTTTAAATCGAAAAGTGTTGTAAGTACTTTAAATCATGAATTAAGTCTTCAAAATGAGAGAGAAAAATAATGGCAGCACTTCCAGTTTGTTGAATTGTCAAGTTAGATTTGTATAATAAGCAGAATATAGATCACATGCCACAGATAAACTCTGAATCTGATTGACTATTGTAACATTTTTTCTTCCTCTTTAAAACAGTTTGAAATATTGTTTATTCCAAATATAAAAAATATATGAAATAAGTCACAAATTATAAAACTGCCTACCCTTGGACACTTGTGCTAATATTAGAGAGAAAGGATTCCACTTCTGGTGTATTCAATGCTTCATACCCAACAGCAAAATGAGATTTCAGAGAATGTAAGTAACCTAACAAAGGCTCAATTAAAGCAATTTTTCTTTTGTATTGAAGAGCATTTAAACTGGCATAATAATGTAGAGCCATCTGAAAATATAAAATATTAAAATATTTTTCCATATACAGTTAGATAATTTATTAAAATATTTATAACATTTTTGAACTTCTTGACAAAATTTTATCAATATATGATCATTTTCTGAAATTTTGGATTTCAACACTAAAAATTGTTAGAAAATTTGATTTTCACATTTCTCATGATTTAATTATTTACAAATGTGAGGATGTAGACTCTTTTGTGAGTTTTAAACTCAAAACAAATTTTTTATTGTTTATCATTATTTCCCTTCTTCCTCCAGTTTCGATTTTTTTTAGGAGGTCGAAATTAGACCTTTTTACCCATCAGTGTACTGTGTCACTTCGAAAGGTGATCTTCTAGGCTTTCAAAGACATTTAGGACAACAGATAAAGTTCTCCCCTCACACCTGGGGATTATTCATTTCCACTTTCATTATGATTTACAAATAAATAGCCAATAAACAAGCACCTCAACTTGTTACATGATAGAGAATAACAAAAAGGTCACAGACAAAGGGTAGATCGAACTGAACAAAAAACCCCACTCTATTCTGTTCGATGTGAACGATGAGAAAACAGATCAAGATGACCATATAAGGCAACAATCATTACCCAGGTGCACCACAGATATTCTGACCTTAGCCACCTGTGGCAATTAATTTAGTGAGTTTGACAGCTATTGTCAAATTTATGATGAGAAAGTGTCACAATAATATAAACAAACCCCTGATGTAAGTTGAACTTACATGGGATTGCATCAGAATTTCCCCCAATAGTTCCCCTCCGGGACATGTATAAAAAGGGCTTGGACATAGTCCTCTGAGTGGACATCAACAAGAGTCAACAGACCCGTACCGCCACTCTGTCCGTCACCACCTCACCATACTAGCCGTCTCTATCCCAAGATAACCAGATGACCACCTCCCAGGTCCATGATAGTCCTGACGACATCGTATACAACACTTATTCAAGGTATTTGAAAGAAATTCAGTGATTGTAAGCTCTCTCTCATGTCTTAATTTCACTTATTAATTATAAGCTAAATTAAGGTTAGTTTAACTTGGAGAATATTGGACAAAAAGGGTCCAACTTTAGACAGTCTACAGACAAGAATAGATTAATCATTGTTGCGACCTAGAATTATTTTAGATTATTTCCATTTTTGTAGCCATTCGCTTTTACATTTGCTGTGTATAAGTTTATCGTTTATTAAATGTGTTATTCTTGTTCAACCTCCGTATTTATTTGGGAACTTGTTGACGTACCCAATTATCTCCCCACTCACATTTAGCCCTTCGAAAGCCATCCTCTGACAGAGTCGCTGATAAGTGGGGACAACTAACCCCTCAGTTCTCACACAATATTGCACAGTTATATTCATAACAATAATTAATAATTCACATCTTTCATTTTAACAAATTGTAATTTTCCTTTTAATGAAATTAAACTGAAAGCTTAAATTTATTAATTTTACTAATAACTAGCTTACCCGTCGCACATTGCTGTGATCTCAGAAGAAACGAAATTCAAGCAAACTCGTTATAATAAAATTCAATTTATATTTTATCATTTTTATTCAAACTTATTTTTATTATTATTCATTTTCATCAGGAAAACATTTCAATTCTATTTATTTATTGGAGTGCTTGTGGATACACGATATTTTTTGTTTTTCCGTCTGGTGCGTACACGAATAAATCAGAAGGTTTTCCAACGCGTGAGCTGGCCACATACAGTTGTCCATGTGAGAAGCACGGATTCTTTAAATTTAGCTCACATACAGAGATTGTCAGAAGTGCAATATTCCCCATTTTTATATATTTTTTAAATCCTTTATAATTTTAATTATTTAATTGCTCCTTCCTCTCTTCCTTGGCATGTTGTGAAATTTCTGATAGTTGGATAATAAACCGTTTTATTGTAATTTGTCTTTTTAAATTATTGTGAGTTGATATTAAAATTTGGAAAAGGGGGGATACCTAGATCGGTAAAATAGGCGAATTTCTTCCTACAACTTCGGTCGTTGTTCGGGGTACAGTTAAGATTTTAACGAAGTTNGAATACATAATTAGCAAAAAATAGTTGAAATAAAGTGATTAAACAAAAATTATTACAAATATCGTAAATAACAGTTCACAAATGCATATATAGAGAGATTTTTTGGAGGGGGAAATGGTCTTCACAATTTGAAATCGATTGAACTCACGATGAAATGCTTGTATACACTTGCGCCATCTATCGTAGGATAAATGTTCTATGCCAGAAACCTTCACGGGCGTATATTAAACAACTTCCCAAAGTTTCATGGCAATCGGATAAATAATGTGGTAATGCATGAAGGACATACAACAGACAGACATACATTCATTTTTATATATATATATATAGATGAGATTTAATTAGCACAAACTTTCCAAATATAAATTTTATCATCAATTAATTCCAAAAGATCACTAGATTATATTGGCTGTATTAATATAAATAACTAACTTCAACTAGATGTAAATACCAATGAACCAGCAAAATTAAAAGAAATAAAACGAAAACAAACATTTTCTTCTGTTTTAAAAAAGTCATCCTCAGTTTCAAAGAACACAGATATAAACAAATGTGTTAAAAAAAAAACAGAAATTTAAAAGTTGTATATGTCACAAAATACACACATGTCTAATTCAGCATTTAACATCATGCTTCAATCCAGATAATACATTAAGTAATCATTTAAAGAAACAGAACTTTACAAAATATAAAATACACAACCTAATTCAAGACTTATGGAAGGTCATAAACACCCTCCACATGGTTGCAAGAGAGTCCATATCCTTATAATTGACTACCACACCCCTTTAAAGGCTTTGAATATTTCTAATTGTTCCAGATGGTTCAAGGTTGCCTGGGTCATCACAATGGTGTAATATATGGGTGTTATCAAATTTAACTTGAATGTCGTTATCATCAGTGAATGTAGCTAGTGTGGTTGTGAGAGACCCTTTTGAATAGTATATTGATGCTCCTTAATTCTCATTTTCAGGCATCAAGCAGTGGCTCCAATATATTCACACAAAGTTCACTCTGTGACCATGTAGAGAGACAGTATAGACCCAAGCTTGCAGCACCTCTCCAATGGGTCCTTATCATTTCTGGTACTATCCTGTAAGCAATCCTATCATTCATGTAGCAGGATATTTCTCTGAAGATGTTAGCCAGAACCACATTATACATAATAACTGAAAAGGAAGTATCTTTGTAAGATTGTAAGAGCTGATTATAAGAGCTCAATGGGATATTCTTGCTGTGAAATAAGAGCATTAATTTGGCACACAGGGTATCCATGTTGCCTGGCTATACTTGAAATGTAATCAACTTTATATCCAACATAAGTTCTATTTCCTATCTATTGCCATCAAACAATGGGTGTAACCCATACTTATAAAGGTCCTAAAAGTAGAGATCTTATAATTGAAAGGATCATGTGATTTTGAGTGGATGAAGAGCAGCACATACAAATTTTTACCAAACACTTTCATTATTATTACCTGTATTATTAGCAGCATTAATATATCCTAATATAATCTGGCAATCATTTGGCATTAATCTAAATATCAGATTGAGTGATGTTTATACTTTCATTGTATTATCAATAAGAATGCTATTTAAACAACAACAACTACATTCTTTTTGAGAAATCAGTTTAGAATTTATATTTATGTAAATTTTTAACAAACATTAAAAAATAATTATGAATATAAAACTTTAAATCATTTATAATCAGTTCCTAATTATCTTTACAGTTAAAAAAAACTTGAAAATTGATTAAATTTTATTTAAGAGATAAATACCTTATGAAATTTTTTACTAGTTGTATAAACATCATCTCGTGTATCTTGTCTTTGCTTTTCATTATCTCTTCTCTGTGGTACTTTGCAAAATTTACCAACTGCTTGTTTTAATTCTAAATAATACAAATGCAGAAAACTAATCATTCAAGAACCTTAATTATAGTAAAATAAAATATTTCAAATGAAAAAATACCAAAGTCACTAATCATTTTATTCAGTAATTTACTTAAATACAGTGTAATTCTTTACTAATAATTTAGTTACTATGTCGTAAATTTAACAACTTTAAAATGAAGAAAAAAAAAACAAATGCTAAACTTATCAAGGCTAAAGTTTACTTTGGTAACCACAATGGCCACGTTTCCAACTGTTCGTGCTCCTGACAGACTCCTCCTGGAGGGGAGCCACCAGCAGGCTGTTGATTACTTAATGCCACTAGTAATTGATTCACGGTAGTTCTTGAACAAAAGAAAAAAGGAAACATCCACTAAAAATGTAGTTAACCTAACCTAACCTAAGTGCTGCCATTGGTGCTACCAAGGTAAACTTTAACCCTTATCAAGAAAGACAAAATTTTTATTGAATTAAGTATTTTTTGAGATTCCTCCAGCCTGTCATCAAACCCAAAAATATTCAAATCAGAATATCAATATGTAACTGGTTCAAATACTCTAAGAATTATCACATCCACAGATTCCAAAAATACTAGCCAATCAAGAACTTTATTTTACCAGATGCAATTTGAAAATTACAATATTTCCCTCCTCAATGGGCTTTCTTTTAAACAAGCCAAACAAAGCACAAATACTTTTTTGATATTCTAGTAAATATACAATAAATATAATAAATTTACAATTATACATCTAAAAATTTTAAATGTTTACCTTACATAATTACATAAATACAATATTTCAATATTCCAACCATTATTTTTTTATATTTTCATTATAAAATACATTTTTTCCTATTTTTTAAAAAAAATTATTGTTTAAATTCTTTAAAAAATTAAATTAATTATATCTTAAAAGTATTGCAGTACCTGTGCTCTTTCCTTTAACCATACACATTCTGCACTGTCCTTGTAGTAATTACTTTCATTCATTGTTCCTCACCTCATTCACCAACACTCCTACTGCAACTGGAAATCCTCCCCCTCATGACTCCTATCAGCCAGAAACCAATTCCACAACTTGTGTAAATTTACTCCATCATTCTCATTCATTAATAATAAAAGATTTTTGTTTCTAACTATTTCTAGATGTTCATATAACTTTCTGTTCATCATATTCCTCTCTGATTGGATTAACTTCAATGTATTAAGATCCATTCGATATCCATTCATCATGCAATGTTTAGCAATTCGTGAATTCTTGTAGTCATATTTTATTGCTCTAATATGTTCCTTGATTATTTCACATAATTCTCTTACATTAATACAATAATTTTACTAGTAATGAAATGAAAATGAAATACAATACAAAAACAACAAAAATGTAAATAGATGTGCACAATATCCTTAAATAATTTTAGACCCAACAAAATGTCTGAAAAAAGGGGGTAAGTTGAAAAAATGTTTCAAGAGTAGAAGTGATTAAAGTCTGTTGAAGAAAAATTGTTTGTAATACTATGATAGAAGACATGAAAATAACCACACCCAAGAGGCCAATTCATTACTTTCTCTTTGTTCAACAGGGAAGAACGGACATAGCTATAGCAAGTTCACTGACTCTTGTAATAGGGAGAATCTCATATCCAATAAGATAATTTAAGATTATTACCAATTTGGTTGCACACCTGCTGAGGCAGCTCTAAGATTTGTGAGGCCCAGGGAAAATTTTATTTTTGAAGCCCATTAAAAAAGCATGAAAGTAAATAGATTTATTTAGGTATATAATATATAAACATTTTTAACATAGAAATAGACATTAAGACACAATAAAGTAATAAAAATACACACAGTAGTTTTACAATGAATTGGAAAATTCTGTAAGTGTTCAGAACTTCACCTATAAAATTGCTCTCCTGTTTTTAGCATCTCAAAATTAGTCAATTACTGAAAAAAGCTCATTTCTGCAGCAAAATCTCTTTCAATGGACACACTTGAAAGTGAAGAAAGTCTCTCAACACATTGTTAAATGAAAGTAGTCCTTCAATTCAATTACTCCAAAACTAGAATATCTTATGTAAACACAGATATACATCTAAAACCACATAAATTAACTCAAATTAATACTTTTACTAATATTTTTGTCTATTTTTAAAAATAGACATTCAAAGATATAATACATATATTTGTTTATTTAGTTTGTTTGGTTCTGCATTATATGTATTATGTCTGAGAGTATCTGTTATAAAGAAACAAAAACATTGGAAAAGTATTAATTTGAGTTAATTTGTGTTGGTTTTAGGCATGTGTCTGTGTTTATGAAAGTAGTAACTTAATCAATTTTAAATTTGAAAATAATTGTTCTGTAAATACAACAGATACTGGTACAATTATTTTTTCAAAATTACCAATTTGATGATTTAAATACTAAAATATACTACCAAGTTTGCAAGATTCTATGCATCTTTTTTTCTTTCTTATATATAGGGCTGCTCTGTACATATGTTCCTTGGCCAGAGGCATAGATGCTCATCCTTTCTTTAAATCCTTTTTGTGTTCCTTCAGTCTGCTTTCAATGATACTAGATTGAATATCACAGTTTTTAATGGGTAATACTTCTTACTATCTGCTGAGAGTAACAGAGCTGTGGAGTCAGAGTTGGAGTTGGGAGGAATTTCTGGCCAGAGGAGTTAGAGTTGGGTAAAATATGTCGACTCCAACATTTCAAATTTAATTTAGTTTTTTTATTTAAATGAAAGAAAATTTATTTTATATTTAATAATTTTTTAAAATGTTTTTGTATTTTCTTATAATTCATTTATTTTAAATACAAAATGCAACAATTTAATTTATTAATTAAATATGTAGTTTTCTTTATAACATTTATGTTTAGTAGTTAAATTGTTTTGACTTAATTGAATTTGAATATTTCTGATTCATTCCTTTATTATCCCCTCTCTAAATAAGTACTCTATTTTACTGAATGAACCAAACTAATTGATCAGAGCATATATTTTTCTTTTCTGAACAAGGTACTGAAGTAGCTAGATCACACCACTTTTTAGTTGGACTAACTTTTCTGGAAAGGTTAAATTGAAGTGCAAATGTTGTAGAATAAAGATATGTAGATGTTGAATTTATCGCTTCCCCTTTCTCCTCTTAACAAATATTTGTTAAAAATTTATTTATTTTTACAAATAAATATTAATGTAAGTTAAATATTAAAAATACTAACTATAAAAGTATTTGGGTAAATGCCCGGGGCTACTTTCAGAGTTCAGAGTAGGGTACCCCCTATGAGTGCCTCTGCCCCCCATAAAATGACTTGGTTTTTAATTTTGCCAGAGTCAAAGTCAGTCTACTAAAATTATCAGGAATAAGAGTCGGAGTTGAGTGTTTTTTTTACTGACTCCGCAGCCCTGGAGAGTAAGAAGACTAATATAGTGGAATATATCAATAGCTAATTTCAAAAATAAATGCCCTTCCCAAAAAAGACAGTCACTCTCATAGACTGATCACTATTTTTCTAGCCATGTTAAAAATATTTGAAACACATCTATACCACAAAATATACACACTTATTACATCTAGACTTTCTACTTTTCAACGCTGTGTAAATCACAACCTTTCTACTACCACAAATCTTGAAACAATTTATACAATTTTGCAAAATTTTGAGAAAAAGGAAGCCACTTATATTGTATATCTTAAAATTTCCTAGGCTTTCGATTCAGTTCTTCCTAATTTGCTTCTTAATATTCTTCATGAATGGGATCTAGATCTTAATATTCTTCATGAACTGGATCTAGATCATTTTGATCTAGATCCAGTTCATTTCTAGATCTAGATCATGAAGAATATTAAGAAGATCTAGATCCAGCACTCTGTTTCTGGATAAATAACTATTACTTGTCGAGATTGTGTAATATTTGTATCAGAAACTTTGAATTTTTGACTTTTTCCCATTTGTAGCATCACCAGAGTTCAAAACTAAGTACACACTTTTTCTCGGCCTAATAGATAAATTATTTATTAACCTGTCCTCCAAAATAATAGCTTATGCAGATGACATTAAAATCTTAACAATCCATTGTTCTTACAAGCAGACATTAATTCAATATGCTCTACCTTTGTCAGTTGTAATTTAAAGATTAATATTCACAAAACAGTAATTATGTGTTACTCATTAATTTGTAATCCATCCCCTCCCTCGATTTACATCAATTTCAATGAAATAAAGTATATTAAATCTTATTGTGATCTTAGTGTAATTTTTGATGACAAATTATCTTTTCATGATCATATTTTTAAATCTTTTTCTATTAGATGGGGGCATTCTCTGACAATTTTGTGAAAATATTTCTTCAAATTCTGTTTTAAGAGCTTTTTTTTTATTATTACAAACTTTCAGTCTATCACAGATTATCGTTTCTCTGTCTGGTCAATGTCTGCTCCATATTTATTACACAAAGTTCATTCAGAATTAAATAAGGTTTATTCACTGCTATATAAATTTTGTAATCTTCCATACACCAATAATCCAGAAGTTGTCAGAGTTTGTGTTGTTTTACCCAATCTTACTGACCAGCTAAAATATTTTGATCATAAACTCGGTTACAAATATTTTAATGGACTAATTTTCAATTATAGGCTTGGTCTTCATATACATATTGTTAATACACATAATACTTCTTGTTTTATTACCCCTTTTTATTGTCTTTCATTGTCTCATAGATCATTTTTTTTTTTATCATTTATCCTCTCATATGAACACAGTCAAACACTTTTTGTATTGTAAT